AGCGAACTTGATCGAACGTGCCGGTACACATACTAGTGTGTGAGTCGCCCCCTTACTAAGATTGTAATACCGTAAAATGATTAATTTTCACTGGGCTTAAATTTTTCTGATTTGCCATTTCAGGCATATTCTTTGGGTTTTAAATTCACGGCTTTATCATTTAGATAATGTGTTCTATGCTAAATTTTACATATTCACTGGGTTTTAATTTAGCGCATTTTCAGTCAGCGAAATAAGCCAAATTAAAACCCATTGAATAATTAACCCCTTTACAGTACACTGCACAGGATCTTCTCCTGAACTTGATAATGCACTACGGTCGCCGCTACGCACAGTATTCGACTTGGTTCCCGTGCTACGTACACAGCGCGTTACGAAATTCGACACTCACGCGCTGCGTGATTTGATTACACGGAATTCGAACACGCTCTGCGCGACGACTATGGCGCTGGTGATAACACGGAATTCGAACACGCGCTGCATGGCAGTTGTAGCGTTTTGTTTAACACGTTCTCAAAAAAAGTGTCTCATGATTAAGGAAACCACGAGTTGCAACAAACAAACATAAGTTCAGAGAATCTGGGGGAAAGGAGAATGTCCGGTATGTCATCTCTGAATCATTCACCAACTGCCAACACAAGCCTTAATATATTACATGAAATACAGAGGTTATCGGCAGAGGTTCGAGAAATTACGAGGTTAAACGGCAAATACAAATCTTGAAACAACATTTAATTGACATCTGAACTCTCGTTGACTTGTGTTAGTAAATACGCGCTCATCACACGTCACTTCCGGCAATAATTGAGCAAAATATTATGACGGATGCCATTTTATTGTTCCGGTACGAGACACGTGATTGCGCAGTGATATCATTATGTAGCGGTAAAAAAAATAGCTGACATTCGGGAGAGTACAACACGGAGCGCAACATTCCAAAAACCTTCCGAGTGACGTCACATTTCAAACAACGCATTAAAGATTCGTTCTTTCGAGACGCATACATGAAAGCTTTCTTGAATTGAATGTTGGGAAACACATTCTATTATTTCACTTACTTTTGGGAACGTCGTGAATAAACGCCAGTTAGTAGTGATTGCGCAGTGATATCCAAAGTGGACGTATATCACCTGTATCTGATTTATGGAAAACTAATTCCTGGTCAGAAATTGAACATTTCACTCAAACCGATAACTGCCATTAAATTAGGTCGATAAACATTTGCCTCTATGACATTTCACTTTAAATTAGTTCTTATTAGCGAGTTGATAACATGAGATAAAAAATGACGGAAAATGCCAACCGTTTGAAGAGAAACAATACGAGTTTTCCGTAACTGTAACTGTAACGATTGCATATTTCCACCGTGTTCACCATGGCTTAACGAGGACACATTCCAAGAGTAGTTTACCTTTCCTATATTACTGTTTGGTGTTTACAGTGACCTGTACTCTTGCAATTTCCGTCATCGCTCACCCAAATGACGGCATTGGACACCGAAATAACTTCACTTGGCGTAAGGGATACACACCATGACATAAGTTGCGGTCACTTTTCATGCCAATAAAAATTACATTGCTTTCCGACTGTAAATTTCATTTCAGTATATGTTTCTCGGTACGCACGCAACCAGTTGCGAAGTCCCCGGTCCTGGCTCTCCAGTTGAGTTGATCACAAACAACAAGTAGACACTTTTAAGACCCGACCCGAGGCAATGAAGAGGTCAGGCGAAAATCCGGCTGAAATAAGCTGGGGTTACTTAAAAAGAAACTCGAACTCGTTGTAGGTGAAGAGTGTCAAAGGACGCACCTTTAGATGTGAGCACGCTAGAACCGTTACATGGGCACGTGATGCGGAACCCAGCGAAAACACAAAGGAACCGTCTTCTGAATAACACGGCTTGATTTTACGCATCGAAACATCACATCTTGACAGACTCGATTGTATTATATCCTACTCTATTCTATTCTATTCTATTCTATTCTCCACTAATGTTGCCAAACAATTGCGAGATCAGTCCAAAAGACCGATTCAACATTACCACGATAAATTTTCAGAAATTAAAACAGAACTCAAATATTTCTTGTTGATGTATGTTCTTAAAAATAAGTTAATGTAACCAATCACACCCCGCCATTTTATAGTTTGTCTGGACGTCATTATGCTTAGATCTATTTTTGGATCAAACATTTACTAATTCTGTCCAGAAGGGGTCTCAATTAGTGCCATTTCAAAAGCATACACGAAATGCTACAGACGGGCCTAATATAAAAGTTGTCCCTTTGCAGCCCCAGGAAATTTACGAAATATGTTAAGGCTATTGTACCTACCAGACGACCTGCTTCATTGTTATGCAAATTTATAAGCGTCCTAATATCACTGCGCCTTTTGTCCTGTGCATCCATAAACTCTTTAGATTTCTGGTAACCGAATTCGATGTTGTCTGCACAGCCTCCCCACTCCCAGGTGCTATTGCTACCAGCATGTCTGGACACTTCATCGTCGCAGCCACACTGGAGAAGTTCGCCCATGGAACAAGCCTGAGTTACCGCATACGTTACACCCGCCGACGTCACCGCACACACAAATGCAGTCTCTCTTGTATCTGTTATTGAAAAAAAGAAAACAGCAACACAATTTATTAAATATTTTCTGGTGCACATGATATTTTGTCCTATTACGTCGGTAACTTCCACGCACGTTCGCAGGTGATTAACGACGCACATGATCACGGCGAATGGAAACCTTTTCCGGTTTTTGCAGTATTTATCTGCCATGCTTTACATATATACTGTAAAATACTTTATTTTAACTGGAATTAATTTTCACTGAAAAAACTTTTTGGGTGTTTTGTATAGAATGTTTTTCACTGAATCATTCCTTTGGCGAAAATAATGGAAATTAATTCCAAGCGAAAATAAAGTATTTTACAGTATACTACAATTTAACAACGATCCTCGGACCATGGAACTAGTTCTATGCTCGGACCGAATAACAAATGTCATTTTGTTCATAATAGGGGTTCATGTCGCTATAGAGATGAAAGTGTGGTCACCGAACCATGTTACGAGAAATGGTGAATTTTCGAGCGAAAACACGTGTTTAATGCAGATTGAAAAAAAAAACAGTGTATATTCTATACATTTATTTTTGGGGGGGGGGGGGTAAATATGTCTTGGCATTCACGTGCTCTTCACGGGTACGAGCAGTGCTAACCACAAAGTACGTGATGGCCGAAATGAACCATATATCCGGGGTGTCAGGTTGGCTAGCAAGGTAGGTTAGTCAATTTCATCTAGGGTATTAATTAGTTTGCGATTTAAGCAATATTACGTGTCAATTCACGATGTCCAGTGCCACCTTGATGTGTCAACTGACGAGGACATGTACCAACTAATATCGTCATACGTCGTTTAAACGCGCCAATTGTAGATGTATTGCGTAATCTAGACGTGTCAACTGAATATGTCACACGCGGTCGAGACGTGTCAATTGAAAGTGTCTTGTATCATTTAGACCTGAAATAGACGAATTTTTATTATTGAAGTTGAAATAAATCGCATAGAGACATCATTTTGTGTGAGCCACTGAGTGTTGTTGTTTTCTGCGTAATTAAGCGAGTTCTACTCGCCTCGGAGGAAACAGAGCAATAATCTGTTAACCTATGTGATTGTCAAAATTCATGTCTCTCACTACACTGAATGACCTCTCACCTGCATTTATCAACATTATTTTAAGTTAATCACGTTTCCATGAGCTGTTCTAAACAAGGGTGTAATGTAAAATTGTTTTGGTTATTATTTTTCAAGAGAATGACATATAATTTTAAATTTAGTGAGTGTAAAATGAAAACGTCGTTAAATCAAGAATCCGCAACTCATATTTTACAGTTACTACCCATAACACCTTTTCCAGTAACTTACAAGAATAAAAGGAGTTGATCACTCGAAATAGATTGTCGGATGATGTCCTCCGGAAACTTCGATTAGAAAGAACGTTAAGATTGAAGTAGGCTTACCGGCCCGATGCCATTATTTTCTTTACGAATACGCACATTTAAAAGTTTAGCGGCGCTTCAAATTAAACATTTATTTGCCAAGTTATATAGTGATTTAACGTTGGTTGACGGACTATTTTATTACGACACGAACGAGGATCCGTTGATTTATTGGTGACGTACTCGGACACAATGATGACGTCATTGAGTGTTGACAAATTTTACAAATTTAAAGGCTCCAGGAAAATAACGTCTACGGTATTTTCGACTAGACTAAGTATAAAAGTTATCGAAAAGTTATTGAAAAGTTATCGAAGTTTGGATTTCGATATGAAATACCGTGATTGAAGAATTGAAAACAGTTACTGTTGACTATTTTATAGTAACGGATATATGAATGAAATATTATAAAATATATATTATTCATCTGGCAGTGTTTTTCCATCAAGTTGAACATATTTTCACATTCCAGTCCTCAATTAATATGATTTTCTTTAATTAAACATTTGTTAAATATTACATACCGAGAGAGTCAGAGCAGAATTGAAGTTATGCATTCCGAGCAAATGTATACAGTAGAGCAGTTCCTATTGGATTACACATAAACAGGTACTCAGACTTTATACAAGGTGAAAGCATTTCCACCTAGGACAGGAATTTTCTCACTGGAAACTTATTCACGGAAGTACAAGGCAATTGTTTCTCGACACGCAGTTTTTATGTGTTTTTTTTTTTCAAATCATATTCACTTAGAAATGGGTACAATTTTAGTGCAGCATGTGCGCATCGACTACAATGATGGAATGATAGCTTTAAAATATATGATTCTAATGAAATGTAGATCAAATTTTAGCTCAAAGAAGTTGACCAAACTGAGTTTGCACGTATTTATTATCGTGAATATTTGCAAAACGTATGGGATTTGAATATACTCCTTCAAATTCGAATTGTGAAGGAGTTTATGCAACTTTCTCATGTCTGGCGAACTAATTAATTTGTATTATAGATAGTTTCAGTTCCTTGAAAACACTCATTTTTCTTTTACCTTGGTCGGCATAACAGTGATAGATTCGTATTCAAGTTGGGTGTTAGTAATAACCTCAGACTAGTAATACTAGTCTGAGTAATAACACTTATTATTCACAATTTGTTTTGTCTTCTACTATTTCGAGTGTATAACTCGGTTTCATATGGATGCTGCTTGTCTTGACAATGTTCCCTGTAAAATATATGTCATTGACACAACCCTGACGCAGAAAGGGTGGTACTGCAGTATGGTATTTAAAAAAAACACACTAAAACTAAGACATACAAAATGGCATAATGAAAATCTGGACATTACAAGGAGGGTTATTTAGATTTTTTTTTAAATTTTATATATACTAGGCTTATTGTGTTCTATTTAGAAGTTGCTGTCTTTAACATAAACATTTTTCTATGTACTTTTCTAACACGATATTAAGAAATGTTATATCTGAACTCATGATTGCGGAGAATTGTTGGTTTTCGTCAAAACTGTGAAATTTTTTAATTACTTTTGCTGCACTGTCAGAAAGTAATTTTTTTGCTGTTCATGACATTACGAAGAGTGCTTCGTCTTAAATTTCCCTAGCAGTATATAAATCGCATAATGGACACACCTGTATCTTATACGATCGAAAATGATTAAACAGTTCAGAGAAGAACGTTTGTTGTATTTAATACTGACCCCCAACAGATAGAAAATGACATGCCTTTCCATCTCCATTGAGCCAAAATGCAGAGATACAAATCAGTTTAAACGTGTTAATTACTACATCCCCTCGTTATTACTGAACATACCCGTTTGTCACATGACATAACCGTGGAATCATGACAGTCACTGAGTGTATTTATAATGCTCACGTGACCCAACCACGCCATTAATATAGGAACGATTGTTTTCCCCTTAACTAACGTCGCCCAGGCTCTTTGGATCATCAATCTCAAGGCAGACATAATCAAAGGGAAATCGTGTGACAACTAATGCGAAATTTATTGGTATTAGGACACACATATAGCGTTAACGCGATATAGTCTGTCGACAGCTAGGCGGGTATGTTGTGTGTATATGTTCAACTGCAGTGGTTTTGAAGCGAGACTTGATATCGAGTGCACTGTGACTGCGAACAATGGATGCCACACTGGCTTCATAGATGATGACCCAGCGACAATTCACACGCCAGTGCACCTGAAGTCACCGTGATCGTTTGCGAGAATAATACCGTGTTTATTTGTGAGTTTATAAAGTGACAGATTCAATAGAACCTCACTGGACGTCCGTCGCACACCATAGAAAACATTCGTATTCCAACACGTCCTATGATTCAAAATCCATGTTTCAACTCCTTCTCTTAGACATACGTAACATAACATAACGTCAAGAAAATGGCCCCGCTTTGGTGTTGACTGATGAGTTAAATGGAATCCCGGCTAAGTTACCGAGTCGTATAAATCAGAAATGTAAGTTCACTATGTAATACAACGTAATCGTACAAAGCTTCCCCCAATAGGATGTCAATTTCTGAGCATAATGTAGTTCTATTCTTGACGCAAGTACGTAGACGGGGTACAGTCAAACAAGACGGGCGCTGGTGGGTACCGTCTCTTTCAGCAGTTCCCGACGCAAGTGGGTTTTAGCGCGTTCCAAATCTCTCACCCACGTGCCCTTCTCAGGGCAACTGAACCGTCTATAATTTCGACATTTATTTGTTTATATCCCGGTCTGACGGTTTAAATATAACCACAGTACGAAAATCAGTGAATCGTGTGCCAGGGAATGAGACGGCCAAGAGTTGGCGCGATGACAGATGCGTGCACGATGACAAACTAGAACACATGGGTCGAAAACGAACGCACCGTACGTGTGAGTGGCGATGACGTATGCATTTTACCGTCATGAAACATAGTAAATCGAGACCATTGTACGAGTATATTTGAATTCCACAGAATCATACGTATTGGTAAAGTACATGTATGTTTCACAAACAATTCTGGTCTTTCCAGGCAGAAATAATTAGCATTATTCACACTGAGCACGTGCCTAAAAAAGATCGACGACACATGGTGACGTAATTCTAGGAATATGCAAAGAGGTCAGACTGACACGACAACTAACTCCAGACTCTCATATTTAAAAGAATGGAAAGAATTAATTAAACAAATAAATGACGCTTTGAATAAATACTGCCGAATAAACAACATAAAATCATTGAAAAATTTATTGCAAAAATCTGTACTTTCAACAAGTTTGCCAACGACTGTGATAAACTATCGACCAGGACGAGGAGTGACAGCTTTATTGACTCACAGGTTAAAGGTCAAATGTCAATGCACCTGACCTTTGTAATTGGAGTCGTCGCCATTCTTTCCTACCTTGTAGCAGTATCTTTCCAAATGAGTCGTTGTTTGTGGTGCAATTCCATTTTCGGTTCTTGAACTGGTATTGGCATTCTCCAGTCCCAAGCTTGGCCCCTTTCACTACCTCTTTCACGATCTCGGGTTCTTTACGGCAGATCTCCTTCTGCAATCGCCCGCCCAATTTTCTCGATACCTTACATATTTTGTTTTGGTCTAAATGAAACGGACTCCTGACTGCCCTAGAAAGAGACAAATCGATTAATTTGGAGATCAAACTAAATCATATTATGTGCTAAATTCGGATAAACTGACCTTAAATGTGAGGTATACGATATTGCACATACACGACACAGAACAAATATTTAACAAAAATAAGGACACATCCATCATATGGTACTGCGATTATAAATATCAAAAATTGGTAGAGTCCTGTGTACAATATTTCACTGAAGGATTGTTAGTCATTCAAGGATGGACAATGTTACGTTGTGATGTGATGACACACTGAAATTCCACACAAGAAGTGAACTCTGCTATATGGATGTATCAACGTAAGCTCCTACAACATGTGAACACAGACCACGAACACACTCATGTCATTGTACTAATGTGAAAACACCAATACAATACATCATATGAATTCCGGATATGAATACATTAAAGTTAACTTGAAAAGCAACAACACCATATTAACACATACATGTGACTACGAAAACACCACAACATTGATGAACAGACAAATATAAACACGCCAATGAAACAACATCGTACGAAAGCATCAGCGGGAATAAACTGTTGCGAATATAGCAAATGTACATGCGAGAACACATAGATGTGACAACGCCAATATACCCACACTGTGTGAACACACCGATGACACATGTGATCACACCAAGGTACAAACAGAATATATATGAAAGAATGCAAACCAGCGAAATAACATCGTATGAACACTTCCTTTGAGCGCACTAATGTGAACACGCCAATGTACAACAACAACATGCGAACACAGCAGTGTTTAAGAACATCATGTGTATGCAATGTGAACACACCGATGTAACACTCCCATGTGAACACGATGTAACAACATCACGTGGACACCACAGTAGTCACAACATCGTGGAAACACTCAATGTGAACACCATAGAAGCACACCTTGTGAAATTTACTTATAAGCAACAACGTTATCGACGAGTTAATAAAGATGTCACTCACATATAATGCGGTTACCGGTTTGAAAGTTTGCAGAATTAAGTATATACCTATATTTATCAATCAATTTACACGAACACAATTGTGGTTTTCAAATTGCTTTCCGTGAAGGTTACCTCGAATAGTACAGAGATACGCGACCCACTTAGAATAATTGAACCTAATGTGCAAATTAATTGATAATTGAACTTTCAATCAGTAGTTCGACGTTAGTGAGTGAGTATCGTGTGTATACCACAAGGGATGATGGCTTGCCCCTGATGACTGCGGACACACACAATAAAGTCAGTTCTTGCCCCTAATTATGGGAAGTGGGAATTTGACATTTTACAAGAGTCATTCCAAAGAGTTTGGTAATAGGTATACAGCCTCGACAGTGACACCACGAATATGCCTTATAACAATGCAACGATCAGCCTCGTCGAGTCATGCCGTTCTTAATTACAATAAGTTGAATGAGAAGCATGTAACATCTATGTCAAAGTTTAGGAAATAGAAAAGGAGTGGACTGCGATGATAAATGCATGGAGAATGCCCGCGTGGCGTTATATTTATATGATGGTTTGTACTGGCTGCAAAAAGGAAGGCATGGTTTTTTTTTACGAACATTTGTACAAGTATTGATTTTAACTAACAACACGTCTGTAAAGATAACACACTCTACTGGTTTATGGCTAGTTCAATCTAACGTGTTCGTGTGAAAATTCGCAACACGTGTCTGTCAGACTTATACAATAAATGATGAAAATGGAATGTTTTAACACGCAATAAACATTGGCGATGAGACCATACACAGAAGACGATCATACTCCGAGGCATGGGAACACCGAGGCCTTGACAATACAGCGTGACTAACGCGAAGGCAGTGTTATTCAGAATGCATGTAATTTCACGCACTTTGTGGTAGGCCATGTCTTCAAGTCTCCGCCAGAATCTGAACGTTGTGTTTCCATCGACAGCAATTGAGAGACAGAGAAAAAATAACACATCTGGTGTCGGCACATACTTGTGAAAATACGTAACTGCATGATGTTAACTTACGCAGAACAAGCATCGTTCTTTCAGGTAATGTACGTATTCCGGTACGAGCCGGTGAAAAATGAGAGTTTCGGCGGCGTCCAAACATATACACACAGAAAGAGATGTATGGACGGAAATCGATAGAATAACACATTTGACGTGTATTCAGAAAAAGTGCGGTGCTGTGTGACTGGGTGCGTGTCTAACGCATATGAAATACAGAACACAAACACACTGGCTGTTCCTCAATGGGAACCTCAGAGAGGCACACAATACCGAGATAACTCTCGCTATTCTGAACAATCACAAACAAAGTTTCAACTTCTGTACTCACCACCATAGTCCTATAATTTTGGCTGGCAAAAGTAGCAGTAGAAACAGTGCAAGAAAAATTGTGGTCTTCGCCATCATGTTCGGTACTATGAACTCTAGATTTTACCGTATCCTTTGAATAGTACTCGATGACCAGTTGTAATTCCTCTGTGTCCTGTATAGATATAGGGAGCATAAATCTCTAGGCCTATTTACAAGTTACACTTTTTGGTTTATTTAGAAACGGAACAATGTAAACAGAAAGCGTGGCTGTGATTGGACGTCGGCGTGCGCCTTTGTAACGGATCTTCCAATGACTGGTATCGTTGAAGAGATCTGAGACTGTTTCTGACCCTGCCCTCAGAGAACTTGCACATAGCTACAGCGTAACAACCCGGCAGATAATGTGGCGTTTTGATTGTAATGCCATATATATGGCGAATTGTAAATCCAATGGATGCTTAAATGATTGCGTTAATGTATACATTTCATTGATTGTAACATATGTATTGATGATAGCGATGTATCAAAAGTAAATTCGATGCCAATTATGGGTCAGAGTGTGTTGCCATCACTTATCGGTCTCTGTTGAGTCTTAAATCAATTTTACCGGGAATGTAGATATTGATCAAAATTAAAAAAAAAATGTGGACTAAGAAAAGAAAACATAAATTCCAGACAATTTTCTATTTTCAGATGTCGATAGACAATGCATCTAGTAATATCATCTTCTCCTGAGCCCAGACAACGGTTTTTTTTGCTGTGAATTGTCGATGCTACAATATAAACCAGAAACGACCATCATCCGCTGCCCAGTCTGTACAAGATTAACACTACGCAATTTGCAATGAGAAAACAGAACAAGTTTTGCCTTGAAATCGGGGGTAATCGATGTCGTAAATATATCTATTATACAACAAAGCAACGCCATTGCCAATTAATCATCCGCATCAGAGACGTGTCCATACTTGGTATATCTGCTTTCTCATATTGTTATGCAAATTAGTATAATAGATTTGCCGGCAATAGTTTTATGAGGAAAAGAAATTACCCATTCAATTGATGTAGGTGCAGTAAACACATAAACAGTGACACCCGGACTATTCCACGTAAACTGTTTAAATACAAAAACTAATTAATAATCGTGTTATTTGATAATACAAGTATATACCTGAGATAAACTAAAAGATAAGACACCTAGTGTGAAAATTCTACTATAATAATCTGTTACGTCACAAATTTGTATTAAACCAGAGACCTTAGAAAACTAAAACTGTTTTCTAAGGTCTATGATTAAACTAATTTTAAAATTGATCAAAGTGTTTTTCTTCTTGGGGATCATTATTCATTGTTTCTGTCGTGTATTGAACAGTCCGAAAAACGTCATTGATAAAAACAATTTAACAATTTGAACACATTTGCATGTTATTGCTTTCTGGTCACGTTGACGGAAATATTATGTTTATGACAGAATCGAGAAAAATAAAAGTCTTACTTAAATCCTGTCCAGTGTACATGAATGATCATAACTTCCTTAAAACTGTCGAAAAGTATAATTTATAACAAGAACCGACAGTGAAATTATTTTCAAATAAATCCATTCTCATCCACACTACTTCACAGATAAACGCACACAACTACTCGTGAATTACTAGTAACTTACAAGTTGGCAATTTTGAAATAGTCGATTGGAATAGTAACTTTCTATTCACTGCTTGAACCTGGGTGAGCTACTTCAACAAGGACACCGACTCTGGATGTTACAGAGACAGACTCAGAGAGTAGTCAGAGACTAGCGCATCATCAGAATTAGCCGGCTCTAAATAGA